TAAGGATCCTACTAGTTAGGGTCCTATACTAGGGTCCCCTATTTTCGGAAAGCCCCATTCATCTTACAGGGTTTTTGGCTTAGGGTTCTGGATGTAGGGTTTAGGGGTTTAGGGTTTGGGGTTCGGAGTTTATATAGGGTTTGGAGTTTAGGGTTTAGGGTTTGGAGTTTAGGGCTTAGGGTTGAGGGTTTTCAGGTTTAGGGTTTAGAGTTGAGGGTTTGGGGTTTAGGGTTTGGGGTTTAGGGCTTCGAAAAACGGTGGGGCGTCGAAGCTTGGACCTGCTCAATTAAGCGTACTCGTAGGGTTTAGTGTGCCCTTGCCTTAAACGGCCCAAGCCGACTCTTGATTTGCAGGGTGCCTGTAAGTTCTACATTCTACATGAGGAGGTTTAGGGTTTAGGGTTTAGGGTGTAGGGTTTAGGGTATAACATGAACCTGCCAAACAAGTGTAGGTTGTGGTAGTTTAAGGCAGGTCTCCACCAGCCTCTGATTTTTTGGAGGATTCTGACTAGTGTAAGGGCCTTAGAACGGGGTTTTGGGGGTTCCTTATTCAGATTATAGCATAATAGGACCTGGTTGGGCAGTGTGTAATGTACAGGTCGGAATGAGTAGCTGTAGTACTAGTAGTAGTAGTAGTAGTAGTAGTAGTAGTAGTAGTAGCAGTAGCAGTAGCAGTAGCAGTAGCAGTAGCAGTAGCAGTAGTAGTAGGAGGAGGAGGATTTTAGTAGTATCCATGCACAGTCATCTTATAACTTATAACTGTGATATAGTTAACAAACCTTTTTAAGACATCATGAAGCATCTCATTAGCCTTCCAACTGCTGTCCTAAGCCCCGGACTCACCACTCCAAACTCTAAACTTTCAACCACAGTCTGTACATGAGTGTGCCGAGCTTCAGCATCCGTTTAATGTTTATGAGTTGCTGGTTGTAGGCATCCGTTTTGTATTTGTGCTAGTACCAATTTGGGGCGACTAGATTGCGAAGCTTGTCGGCTGGCCCACGAACCCCTGAACCCGTTGTTCCAAAGAAGGTTTGGGGGTTAATATAGAGGCCTAAATAATTACCTATACTATTTCGTGGGTTCCTTATTATAATGATAGTATAACATAGCCCAAAACCCTATTCTAAGTATTGAGCCCCCTATATTTCGCTAGGTTAAATTAGCTTCCAGGCCCCGGCGACTTGGTCACTGAGTTGTACAGTTCTACACAGCAGGCTTAGTTTTATCTTAGCTTCACCGAGGGTAACGTGTAGGGTTTAGGGTTTAGGGTTCTTGGTTTAGGGTTAGAACGACTAAACCCCTGAACCCTGAACCCCTTTTCTGTGGCAGGAGTGTCGTCAGTTGGGTGACGTGCAGGAGAAGATGTACCAACCACTGAAGCAGGCAAGCCTGGATGAAGACGCTTGGGTGTTGTGAGGGCTAAAGGGCTCTATAGGCTTTTTCAAGGGATTTAGAAAGCTTGCTTCCGGATTCATAAAGGAGTTGGGTGTTCGGGTTTAGGAGTTAACATTAGCAGAGGTAGGGTTTGCGCATTAAGGTTTAGCAGGTAGGGCTAAGGTTCGTAGGTTCTTTATCGGTTAGGACTCACGTACAGCCTAGAGTGTAGAGGTTACATGCGGCCAGGCACATGGCCACTGAGTGCAGAAACCTCAACGCCGCAAAATCAGGGGTGTAGGGTTTGGTACTGGAAGATCTTACTAAATCCGTTCAGAGCATGTTGCTTTCAGTCTTTTTGAGTATTATAAGTTTCAGGAACCCTAAACTCTAAACCCTAAACCCTAAACCCTACCCCAACCCGCAGGATTCGGCTTTAGTGACTTTGCTCTGAGGTGTTGAGTCTGGGTTTCGGGTTTGGAAGTTTTTCATGCCCACCGCCGGATGGCGGACTTGCGAACGTCTTTCGATGGAAGCTGCGCCAGTCCGCTTTCATGGAGGGGCCTGACAATTTAGCAATATTCTTTGTATGGTTCGTCAAGGTAATATCATACTAAGGCCCCGGTATATTACGCGGTTCATCTCTTCCTCCGTGAATCTAGGGTTGTTTGTCATGGTCTTCTGGACGGTTTTCGGGGACGGGGGGTCGCGAGAACCACCACCCCCCCTTTCAAAGGCCGATAACCTCCCAAACCCTAAACCCGAAACCCTGAACCTTAAACCCTAATTAACCCCTAAAACCTTAAACCCTGAGCCCTAAACTCCTAAACCCTAAACCCTAAACCCTAAACCCACTAAAAGAAGCCTTACGACCTCATGGAGACCCTTATGAAACAAATCCTTCTGTTCCTCTCCTGGCACCCTGACCCTGAACATTATACCCTAAAGCACTTTGTAGTATGCATGTAGAACCCTCAAAGGAACCGTTTTAGGAACCCCAAATGCCCTCAAAACGAGGCGCACGTGCACGGCGCGGCGGCCCGGAAGCAGATCAACGCTTTGTGCAAGGCTGGGTTGAGGATCATTGCAGGAGTCCGTTCCGAACTACCGTACTGGGTGTTTAACTTGAACCAAATTCAAGAGCTTAGTAGCTTTACTATACTTTACGCTAAACCCTAAACCCTAAACCCTAAACCCTAAACCCTAAACCCTAAACCCTAAACCCTAAACCCTAAACCCTAAACCCTAAACCTGTACACTTTTGGGGGGGTAGTAGAACCCCCGACAGAAGTGAAAGTCTCAGCCTTTTGGGCCTTATGAACTCAGCCACGAAGGGAGTCGATTGAGAACTATACTTGGAGGGTCGGGGACTTAGTAAGTAGAGTCATAAGTACCCCAAAAGGGGTCCTAATTGCGATTTCTATACTTACAAGTCTATAAAATGATGACGTACTAGGTCCCCCGACCCTCCAAGTATAGCTTACTTGTGCTCGGCTTGGTCTAAGCTCCAAACACCCTGTACGGTTTGGGGCTAAGGGTTTCACTTTTCATGAGTATGCCTAAACTCTAAGCCCCAAATCCTTTGCGCAGAACCGATTCTGAATTGCAGTCTTAGGACTTATGCATGTGTGCTCCTGGGGGCGCGGTTGCAAGTTGTATTTGCCGAGATCCCTGGGTGGGTTTTATGCATACTAGAGGTATTACATGTTTCTAAAAACAGTTGATGCTTACGACGAGAGAGTAGCCCTAACACCCTAAGGCTCTAAACGAGCCCGTGGTTCATTTAAGCTGAATCTAGGACATTTTCAGGTGGGTAGTTACCGTTATCGGAGCCCTATAGAAGGTCTATATGCCTTATGAATGATGGAAGCCTTAGAGAGGCCCTATATACCCGAAACTCCACACCTGTAGTTTCCTATACCCTAAACCCTAAACCCAATACCCTAAGCCCTGAACCCATGCACCCTGGACCCTTCAATGGGTATTTCAGTTTAGTTTCCTTTAACTTGGGTTCAGGTCGGGCCTCCCTCCCTAGACTCCCCACCTGTAGTTTCCTTTAAAAGAGGTGTGGTTTAGGGTTTAGGGTTTAGGGTCTAGGGTTTAGGGTTTAGGGCTTAGGCTTAGGGTTTAGGGTAAACTTAGTGCTTGATTCTGCTACTCGCGGTTCTCTTATGCTAACTGCAGGAAGTAACCAATTCTTTCGTGAGTTTCTGGAGTACCATGTTAGAAGGGCGTTGCTCAAACAAGCAGC